ATTGAATAAGTCATTTTTTTCAGTACACCCAGAGGAAAAATACTCAGGACCCACCTCTGCCTTTGATTCATGTCCAGATGTTATTTATTGCTTTTTCTTTGCCACATGTTTAAAGCACTTCTGTTAGCTATTAATACAGCTGATGTTGTTATTGTATTGATGTTGATATAATGATTTGCCTTTACAGTATTTTTCTGTATTTTTGGTTGTTAGTGTGTTTAGAAATTATTCAATAAAGTTGGCTTTAAAAAAACAGACCTTAGGGGCGCCTGGGTGGCGCAGTCGAGTTAAAAAGCCGACTTCAGCAGATCGCGATCTCACGCGAACCATTGATTCGAGCCCCGTCGAGGCTCTGGAGCTAATGGCTCAGAGCCTGGAGCCTGTTTCCGACTCTGTGCCTCCCTCTCTCTCTGCCCCTCCCCTGTTCATGCTCTGTCTCTCTGTCCCAAAAATAAATAAATAAACGTTCAAAAAAAGAAAATTTAAAAAAAAAAAAAAACAGACCTTAATCCAAAGTAGAAAGTAATCAAATTGCATATAATTTGGGAAGTTTCCATTGTTTTGCTTTGGTTGCTCCTATTATCATTTTTACTACATACCCTTAACAGACTTTTAAACCCATCGAGGTGGGTTTTTTATTCTTTTAAACTTTGATGGATTCCATTTCCTATGAAATGGACTACAAATTATCTCTAATTGTCTGCTAGTATTTGTGTTATTTACTTTTAGGGATAGTATGAGGTATGTTGCAGTGTGTATGTATTTGTGTGTGTACATGTGTGCATATGCACAAATATATGTGTGGTTTCAACCTTAAATGAATGTTTTTTCTGAGGACTAGAAAAAATAAGTCGCCCAGGACGTCGGAAAGGCCTCCTTAGAATAGGGGCATCAGATAATCTTGAATGTCAATCTGTGGGAATTTAGTGATTAAAGTAACAGAAGTTTTATTGTAAATTGATGCTAATCATTAAACAGTTGATGAGCAGGATGCAAAGGACTGTATCGCCATGTAGTCTGATAATGTCATTTATGTTCCAAAATCTACTCAAAGTTTGTTGAACTAAAGTGTAAGAGTCTGAAACAGTAATAGGAAGACAGTATAGCCATGTCGCTGGAGGTCAAATTCTGCCTCCACCATCTCCTTGCTGTAGGATATTGAGCAATTTATTTAACTTTTCTTTGTCTCAGTTTCCTCTCCTTAAGTTGGAGTTAATAGCACCTAGATTTTAGGGTTGTGGTGAAAATTTAATGAGCTGATACCCACAAAAGCATTTAAACCAGTGCCTGTGAGAATATGACATAAATTTAAAAACCAAGATCTAAATTTTGGAATGAGTTTCTGTTTTTCAATAACATGAAATATATATGAACATTTAGTAGAAGATGAGGCACTCTAAATTGACATTTTGCCGAAAACCCATTATGCATAGCCAATGTATTGTGGAAATGTGAACCAGGATAATTAAGTGAAGGTTACTGAATTCAGAGTGAAATGCATTGAGAATGAGTCTTGGACCTCTGTGATACCTTAACTATTCCCCGACTCACAGTCATGTCCTTTTGGGGTAGCAGTGTTCTTTGGAGTTGTAACATGGGGTCCACAAATATTTGTACTTTCTCAAATGCCTAACCCAGTAACCTGGAAGTTGCTCATCATTCCTTTTCACACTGGGTAGAATGAAGAATAAGGGCATTAGTCCTGAATGCCATTCTTTGGGAATTTAGTGATTGAAATAACACAAGTTTTGTTGTAAATTGACCCCAATTATTAGGTTGACTGAGAGAGACACAAGGAACTGTGTCATAGCAATGGTCTGATATTGAGGAATTACTAATACAAACTATTCCTTTAATTTTTACTAACTAGAGAGGAATCTTCAAGTCTTAGAGTTGTATTGAAACACCAGGTCAAACATAAAATGAAATATAAAAAAAGTCCACTTAACATGTTTTTCCCAATATGATTATTTTATAAACCGAACGATAGTGTTGAAATCCCTCACTTTTAATTCTGACGTATAGACTTCTGTATAGACTGAATATACAGGATGAACGGTTATCGATTAAACATATTAGTGTATCGTTGACAAGGAAATGTTTATTTTTTTACCTCAAAGTTTTAATCCACAGTATTACTAATATATGAGCAAACATGTATTCTGTAATTTCTGATCTGCAAAATCATTAAATGCTAGAAGCACTTAACGACACATTATATTGAATCTTCATAAACTTGGTTATAACCTTTCTGAAAATGACTCCTGAACCTGTTTATCCACCAAGACATTTATTTGTCTTCAGCTCCAGTCTTTCACTCTGCCCTAGCTGATCTCATGACCCCCCATGGCAAAGCTACAACAGACTGTCTTTTCCTATCCGATCCCTTTCCAGGTGTCATTGTTTATGTTGCTGAATCCACTGCCATCTCTTGGCAGCGTGGCTCACTCAGGTGACGGCTGCTCAGCCCCTCAGGCCTCAGTTTTCCCTTCTATGAAATCAGGGGCGAACCAGGTCCTCCGAAAGAGCTCCTCTGGCTTTGATTCTGCCCCGTGAGCCCCATGAGTGCAGTCCTTCTGCTGTTACTCATTTACTTATCTAGGCAGTCTGCCTTTTGCTCTCCCCACCCCTCCTCTGCTCTTCAAATTTAATTACTTGCTGCCTGCGCTCTCTGACAGCTTGCTCCCACCTGCCTCACCTCCTTCCTTCGCTCTCCCCTTGCCCGTTCCCTTTGGTGGAGTCAAGCCTTCTCCTACCCTTTGTGCCCAGGGCCCACAGCCTTCCCCAGGACTACTTCCATGCTGTTCTTTAGGCCCCCAAATAGCTGCCTACTTTGCCTCTGTCTAGCAGTCCCACCTAAACACTCACCTGAGGAGATGGAATCTGCACACGGAGGCTTGCTCCTCATCTACCCACCTCCTCACCTTCAGCTCTGTTAAAAAGTAGATGCTGTTTGGAGTATTCATATGCTAACGTGAACATTTTGTGACCCACAGTCATAGTTTTACCATTTTACGTATACGAACAACTTTAGTGGGGCTTTCCCCACTTATCAAAGGAATCTGTGACCATTAAAAAAAAATCAGGAAACGCAGAAAATGTATGAAGAGGAAATGAGGTTGCCTGCAATCTCATTTTTTAGTGCTGACCCCTGTTAATATTTAAGGGTTGAATATGCAGTTAACAGTTCTTATGAGACTGATATGTGTCTTTGTAAGGCTGCATTTTGAGTAGTGGTAGATTGAACAAATAGTAGTAACATCGCTGACTCAGTAATATCACTATTTCAGAAGTCAAGGTATTGACAAGAATCTTTCCTAGTGTTTGTTTTGGTTTGCTGTCTAACTTAGACTGGAATTTTATTTTGTGGGGAGGTCATTATTAGGATGAACTTGTATAAAACCTATGTAGAGATTCTCACATTGAATAGAAGACAGTTTTGTTCACGGGAATGCTCTGGGTATAGACTTTATGATTTCTTTTCCATTTAAATTCCACAAAATTTTTATCACACATAATTTAAATATAATCTGAAATAGCTGCCCTTTAAAAATTAACTAAGTTGCATTGAATGTTTAATTTGTTTATTTTTATAATATACATGCAGTGTAAATTTTATTTTTTATTATGTTATTTGTCTACCTACAGTGCCTCAGGAAGAATAAATTCTATCTTCTTTTTACTATGTTATTTTATTACTATATGCAATTATACAGTATATATCTTGTTCTTTTTTTAATTTCTTTTAAAAGTTTTTTAAAATATTTTTTATATGTTTTTGAGAGAGAAGGACAGAGAGACAGAGCACAAGCAGGAGAGGGGCAGAGAGAGAGGGAGACACAGAATCCCAAGCAGGCTCCAGGCTCTCAGCTGTCAGCACAGAGCATAACACTGGCCTCGAACTTGCGAACCATGAGATCATGACCTGAGCCGAAGTCAGACGCTTAACAGGCTGAGCCATCCAGGCGCCCCATGTATCTTATTCTTAAATTGATTGAGATAAGATCACCAAGGGACAGATGACACAAGTGCCTTGTTCTCTGAATTCAGTTTGGCTTTCTTTCAAATTTATTTTACAGTTTATTAGTAAATAATCAAGTCTGAAATGTTTTATAAAAATAGTAGGAATTAGGGGTGACTGAGCGGCTCAATTGGTTAAGCATCCAACTCTTGATATGAGCTCAGGTCATGATCTCTCAGCCCATGGGATCGAGCCTCGAGTTGGGCTCTGGGCCTGCTTGGGATTCTCTCTCTCCCTCTCTCTGCTGCTCTGCTGCTTGCTCTCTCTCCCTCTCTCTTTCTCTCTCTGAAATCAATAAATCAAAAAATAGTGAGAATTAGTTAGGCCCTTAAAACACAATGCATTCTCTCTTCTGCTCAGAGTGTAGAGGATTTACTTTCAGTGGTGCATCAAATAAATCCTTGGTATCTTGGGAAACAGGTCCTAGAGTTTATTGCATCAAGAATAGCTCTCACTTGAAAAAATTTTAATTGCTGTGTATTCTTCACTTTTGTGATCACCAGGTTCTCTTATTCAAGTACCTTCTGTTGAGAGGGGGAAACTTAGTAAAGTTCGCCTGGGTTCACTGTCTTTGAAAAAGGAAGGAGAAAGACAGTGCTTCTTATTTACAAAACACTTTTTAATTTGTACAAGAAGTTCAGGAGGAAAGCTGCATCTGCTCAAGGTATGGGTTTTATGTGACTATTCCATTTATGTTCCATGCACTTAAGAGGGATTGAGATTAATTTAATTATGGCTTTCCCATATCCAGTATCATAAAACCCAGATTGTCACAATTGCATAGTGAGGTAATGTACAGTTGCTAAGCCTGGCATGTACTTTGTTGTTAATCGAATCCAAAAAATAGAAATTTAAGTGTCCATTTCCATAAAGAAGTGCAATTAAAATCATAACCTAGAAAAAATTACTAGTTGATGACTACTGAGCTACAAAAATCTTATTAAATCACTGCAGTATATTGATAGAATATTTGCTAAATCCTATTTTATCTTGCTGTATACCAAGAGTCAGCAAACCATGGCCCACAGCCTGCTGCCTGTTAATAAAGTTTTATTGGAACACAGCCATGCTCATTTGTTTATATATTGTCTGGCTGCTTTCATGCTTTTAAAATGGCAGATTTGAATAGTTGCGATAGAGATATGGCTTGTAAAGCCTAAAAGATTTACTGTCTGGCCCTTTATAGAAAAAGTACCTATCTATACCTTTTGTTATTAGTACCTAACAACTATTATCCAACACCAGGATGATGGCTTTCTGCTGCTTAAAGCACTTCCTGGTTGGTGGGTCTAGCTGCATTCACTCTCAAGGTGCCATCTAGTCTCCTGTAGGCTGACTTGCTAAATTTATAAACATTGGGAGTGAGAGGCAGTTGGTGCAGAAGAATCATGAAATTCAATGTGTTTAATTACTTTTACACAGCTAACTGTAGTTTTGGAATCTATGAAAAATTATTTGCGATGCAGAATTGCTATGCTTTCTTCTGTGACAATTTGAATATAAGGTTTATGTATCTGAGCTTCCCAACTTATGCAAGACTGTCAGCCTCTTAATAAAAAATTGGTTTGTTTCCAGACAGGTGGGGTTCTCTCTCTAATAGAATGTACTTTGATTGAGGAGCCCGATGCAAGTGATGATGACTGTAAGTCACATTCTATCTCTTAGACTTATGGTAGAATAAAAGGGTCTTGTAGTTTTTATTTACTTATAGCTAAGGCGAGCTGCTTAAGGAGGCAGGAGACATGCTGAGAATAAACTCCCTGAAGTCGTTTATATATGAAAAGTTCTGTTGAATCATTTAACCTGTGAGCTTCATTAAAACCATCTTTGGGAATTCATGTTTTATTGAATTTGTCTCACGATAGTGACTTTTCAGTGGAAGGCAGAAAAGGAATTCAATTAGAGAGTTGTTGGAATTCTGTAGATTATGGAAATTTCAAAAAAAGAAAAGAGGAAATGAGTAGAAGGCAGAGATCCTAGTCCTGAGTAACCTGCTGACCTCAGCTTTTTTGTCTACTTATGAGCTTAGTAAAGGCTTCCCCTTGCCTAAGAAGTGCCATGTTGCTGAAATAAGATTCTGGACTTCAACGGACATCCATCGTATTACCAGAAGTCTGTGAAAGTAGCTATCACACATATTTTTATATTCACATCTAATTGGTTGGTTTGCATGTGTTGAAGCCAAAGGTTCTGGACAAGTGTTTGGACATCTAGATTTTAAAATAGTAGTGGAGCCTCCTGATGCTGCCCCATTCACTGTAGTCCTGTTGGCACCTTCACGTCAGGAGAAAGCTGCCTGGACGAGTGACATAAGTCAGGTAAGCGAGTGGCGTTTGCCATAAATTGTGATTTTGTTTGTGTATGTGTGTGTTTATTTCACACCATAAATTTTGGGGGAAGGCTTTTAGTTATTTTATTTTTGTTAAAAAAATACATCTAGTTGCTGTGGACACTGCCATCACCACTGTGTATCTTGCTAGCTGGGATCATTTGTTGTTGTTTGTTTGTCTTTCTTTATAAGGCTAAAATTTACCTGAAGTGTGGTACTTGCATTTTAGTTCCTAGGCATTCTTGTACAGCCTGTGAATGTAATCACGTGTATTGAATGGTGTTAAAATTGCCCTGTTAGTAATAAATTCTCCAGCGACCTCCACTAGCTTATCTTTTGCTTATTTGTTTCTGAGGTAGGAGAAATGTGAGAGATGCAAAAACAGCTAACAAGGGCTCTGATGAGAAATCACAAATTAAAGAATCACATCAAAGAAGAGAAACTGTCTATAGTATGAAATATGAAAATGAGCTTTCCTGTATTTTATATTGAAAAAACTAGGAAACAGATTTGCTTACTTTTCCTTGATCCACAACGCCCAGTTAAGGGATTCCTGCATTTATTCAGAAATTGGAAATACATCAAAACTAGTCGTGATTGGGCTTGTACATTCCTAAATACAAGCTCCACATGATGTTTACTCCATTAGCCAATTTGGAGACAAATGTTCATGTAAGGATAATATTAACAGAAGACTTGGTAATTATCTTCTAAGTTGTTAACTCAAGGAAGACTGGGGCAAATGGAAAAAGCATATACTATAGATTCAATTGCCTTCTATTTTTCTTTTTTTTAGAGGTTTATTTATTTATTTGGAGAGAGAGAGAGAGAGACAGACAGAGCACACGAGCAGGGGAGGGGGGGAGAGAGAGAATCCCAGCAGTCTCTGCACTGCCAGCGCAGAGCCCAATGTGGGGCTTGAACCTACAAACTGTGAGATCGTGACCTGAGCTGAAGTCAAGAGATTGACACTTAACTGACTGAACCACCCAGGCGCCCCACCTTATCCTTTTCTGAAGAGCTCATAGTAGTTTGTATATAAAACTTAGGTAAAAATTTGAGCTATGTCTTAGTTCTTCAGTTACTTAATTTTTTCTGAGTGACTGAAAACTGAGGGAAAACAGACAAGGAAAGGAAAAATTAATTATTTTGATATGTCAAAGAGCTTTTTACAGACTTAATCTAATTTGATCTTTATACTAGTATTCGGAAGGTAAACAGAAATATCAGTTCCATTTCACAGGTGAGAAATCTAAGGTTTGGAAGGCTAAGTATTTGTCCAAAGTTACACAACTGTGTTGAGTCATAAGTCATATCTAACCCATGTCTTTTATTGGCATTCTAAACAAACTCTACAAGAGTGCTAGATTTTTACTTATATATCCCCAGGACTCCTTTGATGGTGAATAAATAGCTTGAAGTGAAGGTGCTTCTTTTATGGCCAAAAAAGGAATGAAAACATGGGCTCTTCTATATTTGCATAATTATATCCTTGTGGTTTATTAATACTTTCATTAGCTCTGTGCCGTATGAATTAATACTTTAGACTCTGTAATGCATCTTTTACCTAATGAAATTCTGAATCATTCACTGATTCTATGACTATTTCTGCCAGGTATCTTGTAGGTATCAGAGATAGGGTGATGGTCTCTGGTCTCATTGAGATAGGCAGGCCAGTAGGGAAGAAAGGAAAAGTGGACAGCTTAATGCAACACAGTTTTATAGGTGTTGGGAAGCCAAGATGAGTAGGTAGACTGGAGAGAATATGATGAGGCAAAGGTTTTTTTCCAGCTGCTTCTAGCTTCTACCTTATGATGGAACTGAGGCTCCTAAGGTACAAAATTGATAAAAGCTCTAAATAACCTTACTTAGCATGCCTGGTGAGGCATTGCTAAAGAAAGAAAGACCCTTGGGTGCATGGATGATCCTATGATTGTTTTTTTTTAAAGAAAGGATACAATGCTTTGCCATAAGCATCCAAGTGAGTCTTTCTATTAAACTACATCTTGAGGCAGAAGTACACAACTTGCTCATATTTTTCCAAGTCTCTATGGCTAATATGTTAAGTCCTACTAGATGGTATCTATAAGTGAATTGGAGAATAAAGCTAACAGAAAGGTATATCTTTTTGAGTGACAATGATATAATTCATGAAATTACTATGTTTAATGGAACCTGTTGTTGTATGACTTTAACACATGTTATTTCATGTATTCAGCAAATATATTTTTGCAGTGATACTATATGCCAGGCACTGCTTAGGCACCTGTGATATGTCATGAACAAAAGAGACAACAACAATAAAAATTCACTGACCTTATGTAGCTTACATTCTAGTGTGAGGAAGATTGAAAATAAACAATAAATGTACTAAATAAGTACATACTGTTTTATGTTAGAAGGTGATAGGACAGAGTAGGAAGGATTGCGTTACTGGGGGTAGGTGTGGGTCAGTACAGTTTTAAAATGGTGGTCACCTCAGGCTGCAGGAGACTTCTAAACAACGACTGTAGCAGGTGATGGAAATACCATTGTAAATATATGATAAAGGGGAAGTCATTTCAAACAGGGGGAAGAGCCACTGCAAAGACTCTAAAGTAGGAGGACACTGCATATTTTGAAGAATAGCATGAAGTCAGTGTGGTTGAAATGGATTGTGTGAGAGGGACAACAGGAGAAGAGGAAGTCAGAGAGGTAACAGAAGTCCAACCAAGGAAGGCCTCCTAAACCAATGAAAGGGCTTTAGCTTGGATCTGAGTCCAATGAAAAGCTCTTAAAAGGTTTGATGAAAGAATTCCATCATCTGACTTCACTTTTAAAAGGATCTCTTTACCTGCTGTTTTACCTGCATAGACTGGGAGCAGAGGGCAAGAGTGGAAGTGGGGAGCTGAACGAGAAGGCTACTGTGATAATCCAGGTGAGAAGTCTTGAAGGCTCAGACCAATGGTAGGAATGGAGTTGGAGATAAAGGTTTTGATTCTGGGCTCATTTTTAAGGTCAAACCAACAGGGTTTTATTATGGCTTATATATGGGGTGTGAGAGAGAAAGAAGATTTAAGGATGTCTTCAGAGTTTTTGGCCTGAGCAATGGGAAGAATGGAGTTGTCATTAACAGGATGGGAAAATCTTCTGGGACAGGGAGATTTTGTGGTGAATTATCAGAAGCTTACTCTGGATATGTTCAGTTTCAGAAGGCTGTTAGACATTTGCATGGAGTTGTTAAGTAAGCAGCAGTCCAGTATTTAGGAGAGAGGTCTGGGTGGAAGAGTCTGTGTCAGTTAGGTGGTATTTAAGTCTGTGAGAGTATTGAGACCATCCAGAGAGTAAGTACCGATAGAAATGAGAAAAAGGCCATGGACTGACTGAGGAGTCATGGAGAACAGCAAGAGGACTGAGAAGGTTCCACTAGTGTGGTAGGACAGCCAAGAGGGTGTGGTGTCCTGGAAGTCAAGTGAGGAAAGTGTACCAAGGAGGGAGTGCTCACGTGTCAACTGCTATTAAAGGCTGAGTAGAACGGTGCACGCTCTGAGATACTTAGTGATTTTGCCGATGCAAGGTTTGATTGGTGGATGGTAGGGACAGAGTGCTCCACTGTTGATTGAGCCTAGGTTGCTGCCAAGCAGCACATCTCAACTGGCTTTCTTCTCTGCTTGAAGCAATTTCATTTTATGGAGGAAATTATGTGCTACACATACATTGATGCTATTTGTCAGTCTCCCAATATGTCTCTGGACAGATTCATTACTAATAAGATGAGCCCACTGAAAGCTTGAAAATGTACTATTTAATATTTTATTATGTATATGTAAAAATATGGACATAAAAAGGAACTAAAAATATTCTCAACACTCAGCACATTAAATTAATGTTTATCAAAGTATTTCCACAGATAACTATAGTAGAGTTGCCTGAGGGTTTTTGTAAACTTGCAGATTCCTGAGTCTACATTCCAGGCACCCCCCACCCTTCCCTGGGTTAACAACTCCACAGATCACTTTTGCACAATTAAATGCAAAAGCTCCACCCTGAAAATTAATGGTTTCCATCTCTAAACCCCCTAGAATCCTGTCATACAGAAATAATTTCACAGTTTGGCTCTCAGTGTATGTATATACATAATTTCCACATTTTACCTCATTTACATCTTTATTCCTGCAGATTCTTCATATTGGTGTATTCTAATAGCCACACATACACACACACACACACACACACACACACACACACACACACACTACCACATTAACATACCATTTTTCCAGCTTTTCCTAAATAAATGGATATATCCCAGATTTTAGCATTAATATGTGATGTCATGCTAAACATTGTTTTACAGGGAGTTTCTTCCCCTATCAAAGTCCTTGTTGGCATATCTTCCCCACAGAGGGTAAGGTTGGTACAAAGGGTCTGATCACTTCTGTGATTTCATGATTCATGACTTGACAGGTTGCCAAAATGCATCATCTCACTACATCATTGGCAAGATACCAGTGTGACTTTTTTCTAAGTTCTGTGCCAAGGTTGAGTTTTATCACATTTATCACATCTTCCTATTTAATGGAAAAGTGGTATGATTCTCTAGTGGTTTTAATTTACATTTCTATATTTATCAATGAGATTAACATTTTCTGCCATTTCTGTCTCTTGTCTGTTTATGCCAAATAGACATTTATTCATTGGAGCTATCCTTACAGACTAGGGAAATAAACATCTTTCAATTCAAATTTTGAATATGTTCCCCATTATTTTGTCATTTTATTTTTGTCACTTTTTATTTTGGTGGATCTTAATTTTTTCATGACTTGATTTAAAGCCACATTGCTAAGCTATTATACCATGTTACGCTAATCACATGTAGCTCTTATTTAAGATAATAAAGTAGTTCCTGAGTATTGATACATTCCCAGTTTCACATAAAGAACTCTTTACAAAAATTAAGACTATTGATTTTGCCAGGCCTCTTTCTCTGAAGCTGTAATTTTTAGAAGTAACAATTGCTTGAATGATTAATTACACCTTTAGTTACACCAGTAAGCCCATAATTAACTGTTGGCACCTCCAACAAAATGAACAAATGGCTAATGGTCTTGACCAATAATTCTTTTCCTTTTCATCTATTTATAGGGAAAAATTTGAGGCTGAGGATTTGACCATTCATTTCAATATAGTGCATTCATTTATGCATGTCTTCCTGTCATACATAATGGTATATTAACCAGATTTGTCTATAATTATGGGTATTAACTAAAATGCAGAATTAAAATTCACCTCTGAGCTTGGTTTGGGCAGATGTGTCAAAATGTATACCTTGTGTAGACAAATCCATAGCACTCTCACATGCTTTTTCTCCCTTAAAATAGCTTCTCTGGAATCAATAGGGAATTTTTTACTTCAACATAAAAAGGTGAATTAAAAGAGAAAAATTGAATCTAACCTTTCTTCTCCGAAGAAAAAAGCATGGTGACACAGTAGACTACTGACCTTTGAGCAGGTATTGGCTTAAGCAAGATCCTCAAAAGACCTTGCTGGAGAAGTCATTTTCAACAATTGTCCAGGGACCAGTTGCATCAAAACTACCTGGGGCTATTGTGAACATAAAAGTTACTCTATTAACCCTATTAATTTCAAGGTTTACTGTAATTCATATAAATTTGATACATCCTTAAAGACATGTGACACCTTGCTTGTCACGATTCTTCTTGAATGAGTGAAGTATATTCATTTTCCCAGGGCTCAAGTCACTTTTCCCCAGCACAATTAAAAGACAGGTTTATATGGTCATGAATAATACCATGCCTTCCAATATAAATATATTCATACACATACTGATATTTATAAATTCTATTATAGTCTTAACTTTTTATGGAAGAGAACCCGTTCTTCAGTGCAGCATTATTGAAAGTCCCAAATGCAAGCAAGATAAAGACAGGATACTCTCGTTGAAATAGAGCTGGTGGACCCAGAGCCCCTGAGAGTTCTGTTTGTTCACACTCATGTTGTCACTGCACCCTGTCTATGGACCCTCTAGGAAATGAGGATTTTTATCACATGGTCTTTTGAGTTGCGGTTCAGACTACATGTATGTTTTGTTCTCCTGAAACTTGAGTGTAAGTGAAATTTTCCTTTTTTTCTATTGAAAATAATTGTAATGCCTCACACAGTAAATCAGAAAGATTTATGAATGAGGTATGACACTGGATAATGAGATGGTCAGAAGTTATCACATAAATCTCTTTTGGATCTAAAATATTTATCTCAGGTTCCAATTCTGACTGTGTGGAGGACTGAGCTGATTTAGATCCTCTCTAGATATAAAAACAGAAGTGCTTAACATATAAAATCAGAATAAAAGGGCGCCTGGCTGGCTCAGTCAGTAGAGTGTTCAGCTCTTGACTTGGGGTTGTGAGTTCAAGCTACATGGGTTGAGAGATTACTTAAATAAATAAATCTTTAAAATCAGTATAAAAGAAAAAATTTAATACATTGGTGATATTTACAGGAATAAAAGGTAATCTCTGGTTATCAGAAATACCAAAGAAACTTAAAATGAGAGTAGAAAGCTTATAAGCTGAAGACATAGAGGCCTGAGAATGATTTTAGATTGAGTATTGGTCTCAAGCCCAAGGGGTTTTAACTAAAGGGAGTGAGAGGCAGCCTTGGGCCCCTTAAAGGAATTAAGCTCCCTGTTTAAAGCCTAGATTTTGGAAGAGTATCACAACTGTGAAATAAGAACTCAAAACCTCTTCCTGTTAGCCCAAAAAATAATTAAGGAAGTTTGTCTTTGTTTTGGGTTCTGAGTTTAAAAAAAATCTCCTTTGAAAAAAAATGTGTGTTTCCAACCTATAGATTTGAAATTTAAATGTATTCACATGGTATGAAAAATCCAAACTGAGGAATTAATGTAAACGCGGTTTTTGAGACTCTTGAAATCCTAAGACTTCTTGGTAGAAGCATACACAAAATCACTCCGTTAGCAACACTTCTACAATTCAGGGCTCATTACAGTGTGCTCAAAATCAGAAATCACAAGTCTTGTGAGTAAATTATCTATTTTGAGAGAGTCAGAAGCACAGTGAATGATAGAATTAACACTGCTGGTGACAACTTGGAAAAGACTGTAAAATAAGAATGTTTAAAATATAATAAAGCCAGAAAGAAAGAAAGAGAGAGAGAGGGAGGGAGGGAGGAAGGAAGGATGAGAGAACGAGAGAAAGGAAGAAAGAAAGAAAGAGAAAGGGAAGGAAGGAAGGGAGGAAGGAAGGAAGGAAGGAAGGAAGGAAGGAAGGAAGGAAGGAAAGAAAGAAAAAGATTACTATGTAAAACGGACCAGGTTGATCTGTCAAAGAACCAAACAGAAAAATTTAAACATGGAAAATATAATCCTAAATCATCCTAAAGCTGTTGTTTGTGTAACTGTGCCATTTGCTTAGAATGTTAAAGGAAACTGAAGTAACATTGTTCATTTTCCACAGTTTTCATCAAACACCATCTCTGTCCTCTTGTTTCCTGTGTTGGTTACCCAAGCGGCAGCCTCACTGTGCTTTAGAGATATTAAAAATGAAAAGAAGGCCAGTGGGGTAAAGGATCACTTACCTCACCTCTCCCCTCCCTGTCTGTGTGTGAGCCCTGTCCTCCAACAGCACTCTTTCCCATCCCCTCCCCCACAATACCAATCAACATCTTCACGCCATTTAACTACAATCATAAATCACTATATGGTAACCTAGTAACTAGAAATATTTTCTGATTTTAAAAATTGCTTAAATCTTTTTTCATTTTCTATTTTGTTCAAAAGGAATATGTGTAATTCAAAATAAATCCTTCTCTAACCCTTCTCTAATTGCAAAGGGAAATTTTAAGTTGATAAGGCGTAAGTAAACAAGACAGAGGAAATTAACAAAATTTCCTGAGTTTTCCTCCTGGAAAGAAAAGAGTAAAAGATAAACAGGGCTTTATGCATTCCAGAGCGGGAGAAATTACACAACGCATCCTCATCAAATCAATATGGTGCCAATAGAAACTGCTAGAGACACTAGTAAAATGGGGGAATTTGTTGGCAAAAAAACCACCTGAGAAGCAGGCACAGAGCTTGCTAGTGAGATAGAAGGTGAATTTCATCCAAGAAAGCCATTATTTTTACTCAGCCTGCCCCAGACCACCCTTGGGCAAAGAATGAATATCGCAGAGGCTGTTACTGTCGGAAGGTACAGACCTCTCAACTAGTACAGCTACTGACAGAGAATAGTGATGATGTGACATCATGGCCAGTGTCCTTAGGAAATACATTCCAGGGAAAAAAAAGCCCCTATCTCTATCCTCAGGTATTTGCCAAGTGCACAGTTCTGGTAACTGGGTATTGAATCTGCTCATCAGTGTACAGTGTTTACCTGTTGCCGTGTGTGTGCGCACAGATGAAATAAGCAACTAAATTGTTTTCATGGCTATAAACAGTTTGGAGAATATATGCTCTGCCTAGGTTTTCATGTGGGTTGTAATTGTTTATTTTTTAATTTCACAGTGTGTGGACAATATACGGTGTAATGGTTTAATGACTATAGTATTTGAAGAGAATTCCAAAGTTACTGTGCCACATATGATTAAGTAAGTGTGATAATCCTTTCCCTTACATTTTAATCAAAATCAAGTTGGTAGAGAACATAAAGCCCTGCAAAAATATTGCTTCCATAGGATTCTGCTACATTTTGTGAATATGTTTCTTGACAGTAATGCAATAATTCATGATATGCTGTTATAAATAATACGACTATCAAAATGGGTTTTCAAATTCATAGTTTATTGATTCATAGCATAGAAAAATGTTTTTTATACTGTTACATATGCTTTCATTCAGGAAAAAAACCTATTGAGGTTTTCAAGCACAATATAAAAAGTTGTGACAGCCAGATGTATCCAAGGGTCAGAGGCCGGATCAAAGTATGGCAGATCCTTTTGGCATCTTCCCAGCTGGGTATGAATCATATTACTCAGATTTGATTGTGGAGATATGTTTAGATTCCAAAGACACTTGACATAAATCAACTGGCTTTTCCATGGTACCATCTGCCTGTTCCTTCTATGTGGATTTGCCCAGGGCTGTCATCATGCTATTTGGTTAACAAAATATATCCTATAATTTAAAGTGATCAATAGGGAAATGGTAGTTTAAAATGAGAAATTATATCACTGACTATGTGCCATTGTTCTCTGTATTAACGCTTTTGTCTCTACATACTTTTTTGTTTCCAAATTCAGAAATTGTTTCAGGAGTATTTTGAAGCTGACCAAATTGTTCCCTGTTCTCATTGTTTTGGTTGTTTGAGGTCCAAATTCCTGTTACATCTTTCAACAAAAGTTACATGAAACTAAGGAAATATTTGTGCTCTATGCATTTTTAATGTGGGTTTGTTTGGTTTTTTTTAGATCTGAGCCGTTTGTCCTAAGGCAATAAATAACATTAATTTTCCTCTTCTAATAGGTAATAAGTGTAATTAGTACCATCCTCAGAGTACAACTTTTAGAACTTACCAATTATTTTATTAGATGAAGGCAGAGTACATTATACTAATGCCATAATTACTACAGAAAAAATATAAATTATAAAAGAATGATAATATTTCAAATTACTGGTCAAATTTAGAAACATTTTAGGTAGGATCGTTTTAAAGCTCTAGGGTGAAGATTCTTTAAGCGTTCAGTTTTATAAGGTTTTGATTTAGTATAGTTTCTTAAAACCATATTAGTTAAAAATGTGTGATGCTAAGATAGAAACAAAGGATGAAGTATTAAATCAAAAGGTCCAAATTGTGACTTAATTTTTATTTTTTATAACTTCTTTTAATATTTATTCATTTTTGAGAGAGAGAGAGAGAGGCAGACAGAGGATCTGAAGCTCTCTCTGTGTTCACAGAAGCAAGCCTGATACGGGGTTCAAACTCATGAACCCCAAGATCAGGACCTGAGCCAAAGTTGGATGGCCAACCAACTGAGTCACCCAGGAACCCCATGATTTAGTTTTTAAATTCACATCATTGGGTTAGAGTTATTTTAATTTTCTACCACAGGATTCTTATATTAATATTTCACAAAATAGTGTATGTTCCTTTTATCCATTTTTAAAAGTACTTTCTTGAAGGTTAGACAGCCATGAAAGTCCCACCTGCTTTAGAATGAGAATATGTAAGTTGGACACTGCAGCCAAGTCATAAGCTCCTAAAGCCCTAGAGCTACTTCACATGTGCTATACGTACAGTTTGTTGACTTTTGAAATGAATACAGATACAAACTTTAGTTTTGTGCCTGACTGGTTATGGCACAAACACATATTCTGTCCCCTGTGATGTCCGTTTGAGCTTGGTGGACGCATCCACAGAGTCACTCCATTAGCACCCATGTCCAACCTCATATGTGTAACTACTTCACGCACAGACCAGGACTTCCCTGCTTTTGGGTGTACAGAGTGACACTTAAATGAGCAGGAACTGCTCTCCTGCTAGAACAGAAACCTGGATCTCGGGCTGTAAGGATTTTCTATTAGAATCACAGATGTTTTGATGACCATCTATACTATTCTAGATGTATTCCCAAGGCAGAGTAATGTCTCATCTATTTATTCCTTACTTCTCATCTATTTATTCCTTCCATTGAGCCTGGTTCTCCTCAGTCAGAGGAAAGAGGATAATTTTGCAATCTCCATTCCTTCTGATAGTTCCATCTGGAGCTCTGTTCTACCCTAAATTCTGTACTGGTGCCTCCCAAGTGCATACTATGAAAAAAAAAAGACATTTTTTTGAGTTAAAAGAAAAACTATCTTAATTATGTCTTGTTACTGACATGGCATCACTTTGCAGGCACCCACTTCCTTTTAAAACCTAAGTAATTATAATAGGTGATTTGGGTTTGGTGTCTCAAGATTGCATTTTTAAGTGTTTACCAAAATGGAGTTGTTATTATCACAGGAGGCTTAAGTAATGCATTATATCTTTCTTGAGAGTCCCTTAGGAAATAAACATTGTGTTTAGTGTAATAAAAGAAAATTAAGTAATTTCATAATATTTAATTTATTTTCTTTTCTTAAAATGAAAATGTAATCATAATTTTGAAGGACAGTGGTATAATTAGTTTTATTTTAATTTTGTATTGTCACAACATACTTTTTTCTCCCAGTGTTTTTGTTGCTGTTTTTAAGTAGGCTCTATTCCCAACGTGAGGCTCTAACTCACGACCCTGAGATCAAGATTTGCAACGCTCTACTGACTGAGCCAGCCAGGTGCCCCATTTATTCCAGTGTTTTGAGTAAAGTAATTATGGTTAAAAGATGCAAAGCTCAAAACTAGTATTAGAATGCAAAATTATGACATTTATTGAGTGAAAATAGCCCTGTAAGTGGTGCTTTACATTTTAGGGTAGGGTAGGGTAAGGCTTGCTTCCTTTTAATAATAGTTGACCTCACCTTTCTTAGAAAATAGAGATTTTTAGTGGGAAAACGGTAGGAGGAGGAGAAAGTGATTACCTTGATCAGCCATATTCTGGACAGATTGACTTATTTAGTAAAGTTCTAAGGTCTTTTTACTAATGAGAAAATTAAGAACCATAAAAGTAAAGTTGATAAAGGATCACATAGTAAGTGGAAAAAAGAGCCCCACGCTATTTTCAAGAATCTCAAAAAAAGCACTTTTGTTTTTTCAAGATCAGCTATGTGGCTAAAACAAACAGACCACCCTTACTTCCTCAGCAGGGGTAAGCTGCTCATTTAAAATGCTCTTTCGAGCCTGCAAATGAAGTACTTTTGCATGCACCCAGCATTCGTTAGAGTGGGCAATTTCCAAAAGCAAGCTAAGAAAGTTATTGATTCCACTTTATTTGAAAGAAAATAAATATATAATTTAAAATCCCTCCAAGTGCTGAAGGGGCTAATTAAGGGCACTCACAACAAGCGAACTGATTCTCAACAAGCACTTGCCTCACTGAACGTTTCTGGCCCTGCAGCATGTCCTTTAATCAAGTGGTGAAATCCAGGACTTCACCGATTCACTGATTTTCTGAGATGTGGCAGTGGTGGGAAACAAGGAGTTCTGGAAGGGAATGCGAGGGCTCTGGGCAGTCCTAGCAAAGGGGTGCATTTCTTTGAGCCCCACTTGGATTCAGCCTCTGCTTCCAAGCATGTCCTCTTACAAGCATGTCTTCTCTGTTGGCTTCTTTTGCCCTTTCTAACAAATGTGTACCACGGGCTGAGGGCTCTGAGCACAGCGAAGGATTGTGAGGGCTGCTGTGTGCATCTTCCCCCTGGTGTGTTCATCCACCTGGAGAGGCTGCTCAGGCATCCAGGAAATCTGGTAGGCTTAAAGAACAGCCAGATGGGAGGTTTTATAGAATAAGAAAAAAAATAAAAAGCAGAGCACTGCAGGGGGCAATGGTGGATACTGTTCATGGAGAATTTCTCCCATTACTTTTTTTTTTTTAATGAAGACACTTTTAACACTGCAAAATATTGCAAAATAATGAAGACATAACGATTCACACAATTTATGGATCAAACTGTACTCGTAAAATGGATAGCCTTAAATGCATTAATAAGCCAGGAAGAATGAAATGAATTAAGCATTCAGTTCAAGAAGTTACAAAAAAAAGAAAAGAAAAAATAAGCTGTTAAGAAAGTGTGGGAAGAAAATAATTAAGAACAGACACAAATACATTAAAATATAGAAAAACAGTAGAACTGGTCAAAAAGCCAGTTCTAAAGGGAAAAATACCTAATAATGTAATCTGTTGGTCAGTTTAGTTAAGAAAAATGGGGGGAAGCACAAATGCTCAAAATTAGAAGTGAGGAAAAAAATAACCACAGATATAGCAGTGTTATCTGTGTCTCCCTCCCCCCTTCTATCGGTCTATGGGAAGAATGTCCCCCATGACTTAGTTTTCAGCACACTTCTGATATTCTGATTTAAGGGTATAAGCAATGCTCCTCCTATATGGGGCTTTTGGCTTCATTTCTCTAATAAAACTTGATTGAACTAGGGAGAAAGGTGAAAGCAGAATGTACCACCCCAAAACATGCTACTTGGGCATATTGACTGAGCTGTAGGCACTTGAAAAATAGCAAATGCAGGGAACTCTGACCTCTTCTTATTTGCGTAAAGACAGATCCTCCAAAAGGCACTCAATTGTCATAAATCCCCTCTCTGAGAATTTTATCAACCAGGGAGGATTGACTTTTATTATAGGGGAGGAGACAAGGAGTCAATATCACACCTAGATGAACTGTCCCCAACTATCCTACCTCCCATCTAGTCTCCTAAGGGCCCATTCATCTTTCCTAAAAATCATTTACTCTCCCCTAAGAGGCCTACACCATCTCTCCCCCCACCCCACCCCCCAACCTTTTCCCTATTAAGATGGTATTTAAACCTGAACTCTAAGCCACCTCTGGAGTTGCTCATTTTTTCCCGGTATCTCCCATGTGTACATGAGGTATGCATGTTAATAAACTTCTGTTTGTTTTTCTCTTGCTAACTTGTCTTTTATTACAAGTGGTTCAGCCAAGAACTCAGAAAGGTTGAGGAAAAAATATTTTTCTTCCCCTGCAGAAGCAGTCCACAGAGTGAAATGAGTTATTATTACCTTCTCCACAATTAATTCTGACCTTTCTAAATTATAATGGCATATTTGATGTTTTTATAGCCCTGCCTATGTAATAAGTCATGTCAACGTATTTTATCAACTACAACGGAAAGCCCACATACATGTGTGTGTGTTTCCGAATACGGAAATACTCAGTGGCTGAGAGGAAGCCATGTCCTGGTTTTGTTCTTATGTTCCTGCTTTGTGTGTAGGTCTGATGCCCGTCTTCATAAAGATGACACCGACATTTGCTTTAGTAAAACACTCAACTCCTGCAAAGTGCCCCAGATCCGCTATGCCAGCGTGGAGCGCCTTCTGGAGCGGCTGACAGACTTGCGGTTTCTTAGTATTGATTTCCTCAATACCTTTCTGCACACCTATCGTATTTTCACTACGGCAGCTGTGGTGCTGGCGAAACTTTCCGACATATACAAGAGGCCTTTTACCTCCATCCCCGTCAGGTAGGCCCAGGATTTGCCTGTCCTGAAAGTTTGCCCCCTAGTCCCTGGATCTCCGTGCAGATGAGCAGTTGCTCTGCAGAGCAGGATTGTCTTGCCTGGGAACTTACACACCCCACCTGTAGCAGGGGTGGGCGGAGGTCACAGAGAGTTCTCCAGGGACGAAATTGAGAACCCTAAATTCCCTGTCATCTTTGCCGGCTCTATGATTACTTGGAAGCTAACTCCATTGTTTTAGGCTTTCCTATTTTTTTAATTTTTTTTTTTTAACAGTCGTGCTTTTCAAACTTTAACATGCATAAGAATCACCCAGGGGTCTTGTTAAACTGCAGGCTGTGAGTTAGCATGTCTAGAGCAGAGCCTGAGTTCTGCATTTCTAACAAGCTCCCCAGAGATACCAGTGCTACTAATCTTTGGACCACAGTTTGGTAGCAAGGGATTAGTCAAGGCCTGAAAAAGTGTCTGTCTTCCTTTGCCAAATGTGTGGTATATAGGTAGTGTTAAATGAAGACAACAGAAGTGCCATGATGTTGTGGCCTTTTAATGTAGAGAGTATGTTCTTAAATAACATCAGGGGAATCGTTTTCACTTGGCTACAATCTGTTAATAGCTTCTGCTCTTATTTTTAGGTCATTAGAATTGTTTTTTGCTACCAGCCAGAACAGTAGAGGTGAACATTTGGTAGATGGCAAATCCCCACGCCTGTGTCGCAAATTCTCTTCCCCACCACCACTGGCTGTGTCCAGGACGTCCTCCCCAGTGAGGGCCAGAAAGCTGTCCTTGACTTCTCCATTGAACTCAAGGATAGGAGCATTGGACCTGACCACCTGCTCAGCGTCCAGCAGCCCTACCACCACCCACAGCCCTGCTGCATCCCCACCGCCGCACACTGGTAAAGTACCGTTGGATCTTAGCAGAGGCCTTCCTTCTCCAGAACAAAGCCCGGGATCTGTAGAAGAGCATGTAGATAATCCCCGCGTGGATCTGTGTAACAAGCTAAAACGAAGTATTCAAAGAGGTATTATCCAGCTGCCACACCCCGTGTTTGCTGGCCACCTGCTCCCCCACCATTCCTTCTAGAACCCTAGATCCCTTTCTTTTTAGCCCTCCCACCTCCCTGTAGAAAGTAGAATGAATACAATGGCTAGTTAGAAGAGAAATTCCCGTAAGTCACTCTAGCCTGTATGGAAAAGAGAGCAACTTAAGCTGTCCTGAGATCTTCTACAGTAAAAGGCTAATTATAGTCAGTTGTGTATGGAAGAACAACGTTATCTGAATGGTGTTATTGGAACATTCTTCATGGAATTTGATTAAGGCTGGTTGGATAAAGAGCCTAACATGATACTCTGTGTAGAGGTGAATGGTGGGCACTCTGTTCTTTGAGCTTGGGCCTTCCAGGGCCTTCTGCTCCAGTGTCTGCCTTGAATATCTGTACAGCTTCCAGCCTCCCCTGCTAAGGATGACCCAGCCTGGAAACATTAAGATGGCTTCTTTGGTTTAGTTATCAAGGCAGTGCTTCATATTACAATAGGGATATAGGGAGAGAAATAAAATATGAGACAGTGTTCACGGTCCATGACAGCCAAAATGTGTGTGTGTGTTTTTTTTAAAGTGAATTAGATGATATGTTTTCCTGATTAAATTCTCTAATGATTTTCTATGGTACTTAGATTAAAGTACATTCTCCCTCACAAGGCCTCCAGATCCTATGAGACTTGGATCGTCTCTCTCTCCAACCCCTGTTCCTATAATGCTCCCTCATCTACTAGGATATAGTCACATGGATTTTCTTTTTGTGTCTCAGTAACACATCAACCATCTCTGCCTCAGGGACTTTGCACATGATTTTCCCTCTGCCTGGACAGTCTTTCTCCATGTAAGCTCCATAAGATCAGCGAGTTGTCTGCCTTGTTCATCTCTGTACTCTCAGTGCCTTGGCCAGTGCCTGGCTGGTAGTAAATTTTTGTTAAATGAATGAACCAAGCAAAACATTCAGTGAGCTAAGAGTCCTGTGTTATGTCACCTTGTCTTCTGCAGCTTGGTACATGTAGGGGTCAGAGGAAGTGATCCTTGTTGCTTTTAGTGTTTCTGTGATGAAAATAAAAAAGGTTTCATAGCCAATTAGCAAATAGCTTTTTGTTTTCTGAATGATAACTAATTTCTTTACTGATAACATAAAAAAATTGGGCATTTAATCTAAGATCACAAATTTCAAGGAGGATCACCCAGATGGAAGCATAAACCCTTGCTTTTCAACCAGCTTAAAGCTTCCAAGTACTTCTTAGCTCAGATAATTTAAAAATAAGCTTCCCGAGTGAAGTACTTAATGGAATTTTAACTGGATGGTTGTCATCATCAAAAGTAACACCCTCTTAAACAAGAAATTCTTTAAATTGACAAGTTAGCAACTAAGGAGGAGGAAAGAAGGAAGATAATTAAAAAGTCATTAGAACAACAAGCTTTGGTAGAATCATGATGGATTCTTCTCAGGAATAATGAGGCAGCGCATAAACTGACAAGTGCATCTGGGGTTTGATCCAGCCCCAGTGCTTGGGAACCTCTGTGGAGAGTGTGACTGAAGGAAATTTATCACAGACCTGGGCAGGGTGCCCTGGGAAGTACAGGAGTTTTCCAGAATATGGGAAGTTCTGTTCCTTCCTTTATTGGATTGCAGTAAATAGGAGAGGAGAAGTTTGGGGCTAAGTCTGGATTCTTGTGTTATTTTGAGTGAGGAGAGCTTTAGGAATAAGCATGTTAGTGTCAGACATTCATGGATCTGAGGTTGATCTAAATACGTGCCATTGTTCTAGAGGTCTTGAGTCAAGCTGCCCACTGCCTGCTGTGGTTAATCCTTCCAGTTTAACTTGTTGCCCACAGACTGTGACATTGTTCCCCGACTTCCCTATTCTGGTCTTCAGAGCCCAAGCCCAGGGTGTGTAGTGATGGTCCAGTGTCATACAAAACCTGTTTGCCTTACTGTCTAGGATGGAAGTGTGGTTACTGGTAGGAATTAGCAGTTTTTCCCCTGGATTAAGTTAGACTCAGGGAGACCAAGATAAATGAGAAAGAACTGGATCAAGTTCCTGAGGAAGGACACTGACAAAGTCTGCAGAGGCTGGTCAGTACAGATGTTGGACTGAGGTACGATCATTGTTGACACAGCTAGTGGCAGCTGGAGAGCTTGTCATGTGGCAGCAATGATCATTTATGACCAGTGGCCGAAAGTGGAGGACGTCTATGAAGAATGGTGTGGTAAAAACATTAGGTTCTTTCCCACATTAGAAAAATAGCTGAGGGCTTAATGCCCCTATTTTCACTGGATTTCCCCCAAACAAATGATTTGCAGTTAGATTTTTCAGGAGTTAGTTTATCCACGTGGTTCATGAGTTAGAAATGTCTCATTGTTAAGTGCAGAGCTGCTCTCTGGGTGATGGGGAGGTTCCAGGACTGCATCACGTGGGTCCCACAGCACTTGATGAAGTGCCCTGCAGCCAGCCTCTCCTCCAGAGAAGTCAGCTCCTCTCCCCTCTGTGTTTCTTGCTCACATCCGCTACTTGTGCACCCCCTTATCACTCACTGATCGCCCTCCATTCCTTTCACGCCACTTCTTTACATCTTTATTTCTTTTCCCTTTCTGTAGCTGTCTTCTGATTACTCTTAATGTATTTACTTCCTATGTTGTTCCCACTTGTTCCTAGTAAGTAGTTAAGGTGGTAGTTCAAACAGGAACATGGTACAGCTGGATTAAAAATAAAATGGGTAGGAAAATCAGGCAATGAAGAAAATTGGATGAAGCCAAGGGTATGGTTGGTGAACAGTGAACACAACACTGTGGCCTTCTGCAGTTCCTAGAGTTGCCCTGGTTTTGGTTCTGAAAGTAATCAATTACGTGATTCATATTGAAACCTAAGAATAGACTGGTGTACAGGCACATTTTTTCTTGCTACTGGGACTGGAGAACAGTTTATCCTGTGCATTCCCATAAAGGAAACATTGTGAGTAGAAAGCTCAGAATTAACACTGGAGGCCAGGCAGCTCTGTGGCATTTTTCTGAAGAGGTGAAACAAAAGAATCATAGACTTCGATTTTTCTTTTATTTTGTATTGGTAAGTGGGCAATATTGGCCATGAATAGCCCTAAGAAAGTCATGGATAAAATGCTTTACTTCAGAGGCACCTGAGTGGCTCAGTTGGTTAAGGGACTCTTGATTTTGGATCAGGTCATGTTCTCACTGTTCACGGAATCGAACCCCAAATCGGGCTCCGTGCTCACATAGTGGAGCCTGCTTCACATTCTCTGTCTCCCTCTCTCTCTGCCCCTCCCTCCCTCAAAATAAATAAATAAGTTTAAAAATGCTTTACTTCAGCATCAGTCTGACACGTTCTGTGTGTGTGTGTTTTGTGTGTGTGTGAGTGTGTGTGTGTGTGTGTACACGATGTCTTTAGAAGCCAAGAATGCTGCTGTGTTAACTCCGCTGTCTAGTCTTGAAAATTCTAATTGGCAAAGAAAAGGGAGACACTGATCTGTCTTTAATTTGAAAGATGTTTGCATGTGCTTTGCATAATGTTAACACTTAAAACAGTTGGCAAACTTGAATAAGAATCTCATGCCAACAGTTTATACATTTTTGGCTTTTCACTTCAGGATACAACTCCACACAACCTCATTCCATAATACAGCTTCCTCCATTAGGTCCCTACTGAGGCCATAGGTCTCTCTCACTAGATCAGCTAGACAGTTTTGGGGTATACCGCTTGCAAAATGCAAGTGACTTTTGTCTCGTTTTATTGCCAGTGCAATGATAATGCCAACCTCACAGTATTTCCTGGCAAGAGAACTTCAAATGACATGAAGGGAAAGAAGAGAAATAGGAACTGTCCTTCAAAGTGAGCAAGACGATGAACTTCAGAGGGGAAAATAATGCACTTTATTTTCCCCCCAACCCAGTCCCCAGATCTGTTCCAGGCTCACTTATTACCCCTTAGTGCCCTCCTTTCTTCCTATCAGGCAGTCCCCACCATATTCTGCCCTCGCTTTTTCTACAAAGTGCATATATTAGCCCAACTCACATCTGTATTCCGCTTGATGGTGGGATCTCAACAAAAATCAGAGCAGGGGCAGGCGCAGAGGGAAAGGTCACAGGACTGCTCACTGTGTTTGGGATTCTTACCCACCAGCGTGCACTTGGGTCACGGCTGTGCAACCTAGTGTCAACGTTTGCGGAGCAGTCCGCATCGCTAGTGTCTGTTTCTGTGTTCTTAGCTTGAAAATTGCCTGCCTGTGGGCTGAAAGTGCTCCCAATTTTAGCATTTGTTTTGAGCCCACATCTGCCTACTCGTCTTGAAAGCAAAGCTGTTTGCATGGAACTTGATTGAAAGTGAACATGCCAGAAGGAAATGCTTCTTTCCCCCACCCTGCTGGCATGGATTCTTCTCTCTGTAGCTGCCTGTTTGCTTACAGTGTTATTCTTTGCTTTCCTGCTCTTTCAGGGCATATTCGGAGCCTGACCATCTCTCTCACTGGGAAGTTTTTTGGGTTCAGTATAGCTGACTAAATGATTTTTTCATTTGCCTCAGAGGAGTGAATGGTCGAATCAGACCAAGGACACGTATTTGATATTCTGCTTGCTCTTGCAAAACAGATGCCTTCCATTACTGAATTTTGAGGGAGTTATTTAGAAAATAATAAAACTCACAGCTAAGCACTGATTTTTTGTCTGTATCCTGCATCATTGCCAGCTTTACTGTAATTATGTCATTCAGGGAAAGAGCCTAAGCATTTCCCTTCCCTGGCCCCTTTCTGTTTCAAAAGAACAGAACTGTGGCCGTATTTCCAAAGAAGTAAATCACATGCAAGAAGTCGTTAGGGATTTTAGAAGGGTTTATTGAGTGAAATCTTGAATGGAATGGCAGAGGGAGCTGAGTTGAGAACAGTCCTGCTGATGGTGGGGGGGGGGGATGATGTGAAGTTAGTGGAGGTGACACAGCTCTTGGTGGTTACTGAAAAGCCCAAGGAAGCAGAAATACAGAAGTTGCTGGAAATTTTTGAAATTTTTGTAGTGCTTTTCCATGAAAGAACATCCACAAAGTTGTAGTTTTACCTGGTTAATAAGCCAGTGGGAGGGATACAGAAACATCATCAGTAATAGCCTAATGTGACCCTAGAATGATGTACCTTTTATTCAGAAGATCTTAGCTGCAGTGAAAAGGCTCAAATGATCTTTAACTCTCCCCACGGTTCATTCTAAATATTTCCACTTGCCTCCTGTTGACTACTAGCTTTAGATTGGGGGTATTCAATGGAACTTTCTGGGGGGACGGAGATGCTCTATATCTATGTCGTCCAGTACTGTAGCCACCAGCCACGTGTGGTACTGAGCACTTAGAGTATGGCTGGTGCAAGTAAGGAGCTGAAGTAGTAATGTAACTTCAGTTAATTTTGATTTAAATTTACCCAGACACACTTAGCTAGTGCTAACATATTGGACAGTGCAGCTCTCAATCCTTAGGAGTCCCCAGAGCTTCTTGGGAGCCACATTGGTAGAGATTCAAATTTTAGTTGGCTTAAGGGGGCAACCCAAGCAAAGAATTAGATGAAGTCCCAATTTTGATCCCAGTCTGATACACAATCTGGAAAAGTCCCTGTTCCCTCACTCTTCTGGAAGGCAGGGAACCCACAAGATATCCCCCATTTTTTAACGTTTACTTTTATTTATTTATTTATTTATTTATTTATTTATTTAATTTTATTTTGAGAGAGAGAGAGAGAGAGGGAGAGAGAGCAGAGAAAGGGGGAGACAGAGGATCCCAAACATGCTCTTCACTAACAGTGGGGCTTGAACTTACAAACTGAGAGATCATGACCTGAGCTGAAGTCAGGCACTTAACCCACTGAGCCTCCCAGGTGTCCTTCCCCTGGTCTTTTTAATATCCGCTGTTGTGTTGGATGGAAAGGACTGGGTAGGGTCAGCCAGGTTCAGCAGGGTCAGCAAGACAGGGATAGAGAAGACACTGCATTTAGATTTAGTGACATTAGCACTCTGCCAGGAGGAATGACTTGATTTCATATTAAAGCCCTTTTAAAATGTAGACTAATCCAAAAGGCTGTTCTCCATAACGAACCCTTTGTGTTTCTGTGCATAACCCTGACAAGGAGGTGTGGAATTCATGGCCTTCTTGTTAACATTCATGCTATTTTCAAGCAGCTGTCCTAGAGTCTGCACCAGTGGACCGAGCAGGAGTGGAAAGCTCCCCGGTGGCGGACAGCTCAGAACTTTCACCTTGCCGGTCACCCTCAACTCCTCAGCACCTCCGCTATCGTCAGCCTGTAGGTGAGCTCAGAAAGGGGGCGTGGAAATATAAAAGTGAAAGGGGGTTTCTAGCTTCTAACTTTTTCTTTCGCCTTACTGTTTCACTCCCAAAATATTTTTTTAGTCTCAGTTATGAAAATTCATTGGAAGCAAACAATGTCAGTGTCAAGTAGTGGAGTAATAGATGATTAGAGAATATGTCATTAGTATAACTAATACTGACTTGACCCCATTATGGCATTGCACTGTGTCTGGAGTAACATGAATCAAGAGGCTTGTCCTTAGGTGATAGCTAGTTGAAGAGTCTCCATGCTGGTTTTATCAAAATGTTCCCAGAGCCCTGATACCTTGTCATAAATCCCAGTGTACTCTATATTAAATAGGCTCACGTGGGGCACCACAATGCGTGGGGGACCTTATTAAGGTCCAGTTGCATGGGACCCTAATTATCATTATTATTCACGTGGTAGAACCGGGTATATTTTCTATAGTTACGAAAATTATAAAGCGTCTCCCATAATTTGTTTTAGAACATACCAAACGTCCTCTAATTGGAAGACAAACTGTCAGACCAAAAGGTAAAAATCTTTTCTCTCTCCATTGTTTAAATAAAAAATTCACAAAATAGTTGATTTTTGAAACGTTTTGCAGTGGCTTGCCATTAGGGTATGCATTCAAATAATGTTTTCCTATTAAGAGTTACAAACTTTACACACGTTTTAAACCTTAGAAATACTTAAAAACAAATTAAATATATGTTAATCCTTACATTTTTCTTTACTAATAAAAGAAAACAACAGTTGTTTTTGAAATGCTTCCTTCTTTCTCCTCAAGTCAGTTATTTCAAGCTGGAAGAGAAAACTATTTAGTTATGGAACAAGATTCACCCCAAGTAATCCAAGTAAAATGTAGACATTTTTTGACTTTCATACTTCTGCATATGCTCCAAATGGCCATTTCGTTTGTAACCTTGGCCATGGGGTAGAAGCTGTGGTCATTGCCATTGGATCTAAGAGAGGCTAACCTGGGTCAGGCTGTTGTCAGAAGACTTGCCCAGAAGGATACCAGCCCTTGGGGAGTGGACTGATTTCAGACTTCTGATCAATCACGGGTTACCCTGGCATTTGAGTGGTTCTGGTAAATGAAGGTGGCAAGCAAGACTTCCCTGGTCTACTATGGAGTTAGCCAAATCTCTTTACTACTCTTAGAGCTTTGGTCAGTCCAGGCCTTGGCAACTTTATTGCTACATGGGACAGACGCCCTTTTGAGTTCATGGTAACCTGGAAGAGTTTGGGGTCAAAGCCCATGGAAGCAAAATTCTACCAAGGCAAGAGATAAATGCTCTTCACCTGGTCACTATTATCAGGGCTCTATTTTGTAGTCCCTTTTTATATATTTATTTTTGTATATAAGGTTTTGTAATTTATATAAGCAGTATTTGTAAATCCTATCTTGAATTAAACTGTCTTTTCTTTCTTCTCTGATATGACTAAATTTCACAGACATAGGACCATAGGAAGGAAGCTGAAATCTGTGATAAAATAGAAGATCCAAATAGGGACAGTATCACACATTTTCTTAGTGTGTAGCTGAAATTTTGCCTGTTCATCTGTCCTCTTGCCACCTTACTCTACAAATATTTAACGTCTACTGCTAAAGGAGTGGGTAGAGCTGTTCTTTCTCCTTGGCTGTATTAAGCAGCTCTTTTCTTCTCTTATTTATTTATTTTAAGCATGGGTACATCACTTTAGGGACAAACTAATAAAAACCCTTCAAGTCAGAATCACAGTGAACTCTTTTCACTAAAAGCCTAAATGAAGAAGAACAGTGAGGTTGGCATGAGCATTATCAGATCCTGTGTGTAAAATATCTAAGGAGGGAAGGGACTGCAAACAGGTGCTCAGAGCATCCTTTGATTTTAGAATTCATCCTAACTTTACAGGTGTTTTGAGAAGAAAACTCTATTGGTAATATGATGTAGGACATTTTTAAAAAATATTTTTATATTGAGCTATAATTCACATACCACAAAGTTCACCCTTTTAAAGTATACAGTAAAGTGGTTTTTATTTCTCCACAAGATGGGGATGGCCATCACCACTGTCTCGCTCCAGAGCATTTGTATCACCCCAAAAAGAAACCCTGTACCCAGTAGCAGTCTCTCCCCACTCCCATCTCCCCCTAACCTCTGGCAACCACTAATCTACTTTCTGTCTCTATGGATTTACCTATTCCAAACATTTCATATGGATAGAATCATAGAAGACATGACTTTTTGTGATTGACTTCTTTCACTTAGCGTAATGTTTTCATGGACCATTCATGTTGTAATATGCATCAGAACTTCATTCCTTTTTGTAGCCCGGTAATATTCCCTTGTATTGATATAGCACATTTGGTTTATCCATTTGATGGTTGATGGACATTTGGGTATTTGTACTTTTGGGCTTTTAAGAATAATGCTGCTGGGGATATTCATGTATAAGTTTTTGTTTGGATATGTTTTCACTTCTCTTGGGTATATATCTAGAGTGGAATTACCAATGTAAAATCTTGTTATTTTCCTATTAACAAGGACAGTACAGAGCATTTGGCCCAAGGCTTCATCCAGTGCAGGAATGAAAATGAGAATATTTATTATCGAATATGATCTATCTGCCTCACCATGCCATTTCCATTCTTTTAAATAACCAGGACAGACGGCTGACAACTCTCACTGCTCGGTTTCGCCTGCTTCTGCTTTTGCAATTGCCACAGCGGCTGCAGGACACGGGAGTCCACCAGGTGAGTAGGGGCGAGCAGCCAGGTACACACTCACAGCAATGTATATTATTAAATCACTGGTCTTTGGCTGCCAGTATGTTGGTGATACACTGGGCAGCTCATCGAGAATGCAGATTCCCAGCTCCCATTCTCAGTGCATCAGACTGTCTTTTATGTATTTATTATTTGTTTATTTACTTATTTTTAACTTTCTTGTTTGTAGTTGACACACAATATTATACTAGTTTCAGGTGTACAACCTAGCGATTCAACATCTATACATTATGCTGTGCTCACCATAAGTGTAGCTACCATATTATTGACTGTATTCCCTATGCTATGCCTTTTATTCTCTTGACTTACTCATTTCATAGCCGAAGCTTCAAATCTCCCTCTCCCCTTCGCCCACAGAGTATCTTGTAAATAAGCACCGTCGGGGCGCCTGGGTGGCTCAGTCGGTTGGGCGTCCGACTTCGGCTCAGGTCATGATCTCATGGTCCATGGGTTTGAGCCCCGCGTCGGGCTCTGTGCTGACAGCTCAGAGCCTGGAGCCTGCTTCGGATTCTGTGTCTCCCTCTCTCTCTGCTCCTCCCCTGTTCACGCTCTGTCTCTCTCTGTCTCAAAAATAAATAAACGTTAAAAAAAAATTTAAAAAAAATAAATAAATAAGCACTGTCAGGTGAGTCTCACACAGGTGGTGTGGGGGGATACTATAAAGAACTTCTGTATCACAGAAGGATGTGTTATTTCTCCCATGTTGTTTTCTGGAGTTCTCTAACCTTTTTAGCCAAATTACCAGGCACAAGTGTTTCCTTTTTAATTGTGTACAATGCTAAAAGCATATGCAAGGTGGGAGGGAAGGCTTGTGGAGGGAAGGAAGATGGAGGGGCTATTGCTTTAGCTGACTCATAATTCACTTCCAGTAGCTTTACGATGCTTTCTGAATTCTCTTGGTTCATTTTCCAGGTAATGAAGTAGTACTTAAAATGAAGGCACAGTATTTTAATAGATGAAAATTATAATTCATTATCTCTGTCTTCTTCTCTCATGTGCAAGAAGGACATTATGTTAAAACAAATCTTTATGTGGTTTCAACAGCCTTGTTGCTGTATCTTCATCTAAACTAACCCCGTGGGTTCTAATCATCATGCTTTGTAGAACCATGAGTGAGGGTGTATTTTGTTAATTAGCCATTGTTCACCTACCCCAAAAGAGTCCATTTCTAAAGCCTATGAACCTGTATTCAACAATAGTAACTAGTAGGTACTATCTGTGTGACTTCTTTCTAAATTGAAAAACAGAGAGAGATGTTCTATAATGAACATGA